AGTAAAGAGATTTTTTAAATCTGGCCTGAGAGAGAATGGGTTACTGTCCTGCCTTCGATAACTGCACTTGCAATGCAATCTGTGCTTCTAGGTACCTGAAACTCCAGCCGGAGGATCAGGTCGCCTCCTCTGACGAGTCTCCCTTCAGCTGTTGGAGTCCAGCCCAGCCAGGTCAGCCTGGCGCTGTGGCTGAAACACACACATCCAGGTGTGGACCTGGGAGGGGGAGCCAGAAACGCTAACGCCAACCGCCAGAGCGGAAGCCTGCTTAGCGAAGGCGGCCCTGATGTCCTTTCTAAGTTGGTAAATGGCGTGGCCAGTGTGTACGTCCTGTCTTGACAGGTGCAGATACGAGCCACCAAGCGTTCCAAAGAGAGTCGAGGTCGTGGACACTGCCCACCTGCAAGTCCCGAGAACCTGGTGGTAAGTGGACCCGTCGACAGGGTGGCTAGATCCTAAAGACAGTCAGCAACCCAGACAACCAAGTCAAAACCCAGGAGGACGCAAAATAAAGACAAAGAAAAGACCCTTCTTCCCCCGGCCTGTATCAGTGCAAGAAACGTAGACATTGAAATAAATGTGCACTCAGTATTTAAAATAATAAAAAAATAGTGTAGCGTATCAATGATACATAAATGTAACATATGATCTGACGTAATGGGAAAATAACAAAATACAAGGGCAGTAGGCGGTTCACTTGGTTCACTTCGTGGGGCTGAGCCAGGAGCAGAGCAGCCAGCTGCCTGGAGGGGAGGGTGGGGTCACGGGGTGAAGGAAAGGGAGCCAGGAAGTCAGATGACTCAGGTGCGCCACCTGCAGCTTTGTCCTAGAAAGACCGTGTCGCTGACGCTGCAGGCCTGAGTCTGGACACCTACCTCCCCTTGGTCCGGTGTTCGCGAAGGGCCAAGATCCTGGGGGAAGACCACGTGGGAAAAAGACCGCCGGGCCATTATTCCTGGTCAGCTGCGTGACATCAGCAGAGGGCCCCCACCCCCTGGCGTAGCCACACCACCTACCCGGCCGAACCCGGCCTCGGATCGCTTCCGGGTCCCAAGGACGTCGGATCATTTGAAATGTCCTCGCTTTGTCATTGCAGCCAGCAGTGTTGGTAGAAGGGATTCTGCCGGGCCCCAAACACCCCGTTGGCCGGCCGGGATCCTCCTCTGCGTATCTGGGAAATCCTGGGGTCACCTGTCTGCAGGAGGGGTGCTCTCCGGCCACAGTGAGGGCCCGGCAGGGAGGTGAGCGCCTTGAGAGACCGAGGCCAGAGACCCAGGGACCATGGGAGGGAAGCAGAGGGCCACTGCCGGGTGGCCCAGCTCCGTGGCCCTGGCCGGATCCGAAGGCCCCGCTGCCCCCGCGAGGCTGTGTGACCAGGCGGGCGGCACACAATGCTCCCATTTATTCTGAGCCCTCAGTCCCCTGCTGCAGCTGCGTCGACTCACCGGCCTCCTTCAGACCTGAGCCCAGCCCTGGTCCCCCGGCAGGGCGGCGAGCCTACCTGAGTGAGTGGGACCTGGCAGTTAGGTCGCCCCCTAGGCGGGTTTTGAGTACAGCGGGGCGAGGCCGGGTTTGGCCGCGGGAGCCCCACTTCTGGGCCTGGGTGTTCCTGACTGCGGATCCTGACCCCATGGAGTAAACACCGTTCCAGAGTCGGATGCTCCCAGGTTAAAACAGTGAGGGCCAAACGCATCCTGCCGCAGTGCGGAACGGGCAACGCCTGGGCTGCAGGCCCGTGCGGATGGACAGCCCTAAGGAACAACTGGGCAGGACGGGCCGCACGGAGAGGGAAATCGCGACTGACCTCGCGGCTTCTGGGCCGGATGGCACTTCCCTGTGTGCGTCTCTGTGGTCTCTCCTTACAAGGACGCCAGCCATCAGAGTTAGGGCCCATCCTCAGCCCGCATGACGTCATCCGAAATCCCAGCCGCAAAGACCCTAATCCCACATAAAGTCGTGTTCACAGGTACCTATGGTCAAGAAGTCAACCTATCTTTTCGGGGTGACACAATTCAACACCCTACAGGCGGCAGTCCCATGGGCTTCGGCAGATGTCCCCGGACAGACCCGGCCCTCGGGCACTGCACAGAGAGTCGTAGGATTTGGAAAACCTTAGATCCTTTCAGAGGATGTAAATTATTTTTGAAGGGGGAGGGGACAGGCTCTGAATTTACAAAGTCAGGAGCTATATTTATGAAAGGCAGCAAGATCCCCACAAATCATTTTATGAAAACAATCCTGCTTCAGTCAGAAAGGGTTTGCTGTCCATGTCCGGGTGAGCCCGGCTCCAGGCAGACTCCCCGTTAAGGAAGGGCGGAGGCCCCTGCTCAGCTCAGGCCACTGATGGAGACACCCGCCTTGGGCCTTGGCCCGCGCCCCGCCCCACGTGACAGAACATTCACTCGCTCACTCACTCGCTCACTCACTCGCTCACGGCTCAGGCCACTGATGGAGACGCCCGCCTTGGGCCTTGGCCCGCGCCCCGCCCCGCGTGACAGAACACTCACTCTCTCACTCACTCGCTCACTCACTCGCTCGCTCACTCTCCCCCTCCCCATTTTGGAGTAACCAGATCCCTGGGCGGGGGAGGTGCCCCTGCTGGCATCGCCCTGTCCTTAATCGTCCCCCTCCCCCTTGTCCTCAAACCTGCCCCTCCCGCTTCTCCATCAGGGTTCTGCGCGGAGCAGCAACTTCCCCCAAGACGCGCTGCTGCTGCTTTTTTGTAATTTTCATTTTTCCATTACAGTTGACATTCAGTATCATTCGATATTAGCTTCAGGTGGACAGCACAGCGGTCAGACATTTGCACACTTTAGTGAAGCCGGACCTTGCGGCCGAGCTGCCTGACCAGCATCGGGCAGGGGTGGGTGAGGAGGGGGGACAGAGCACAGTCACAGCGGTGACTGCCCATTAAGCGCCCGCTCCACACCGGGCCTTTACCGGCCTCCTCCCTTCAACCTGTGCCCAGGGCGATGAGTGTCAGGGAGGCGGCCGCCCCAATGTTGCACACTGAGGAATCGGAACGGCTGGGCTCAGGTGTCTCCGCACGCGGCTCCGAGCTCCTCACGACTCGCTGCAGAGTGCGGGTGGGGACAGACACGCTCCTAGGCTCAGAACAGCGAGTAACTTCTCTACCGTGTTAGGTGTGGACACTCTAGACCTGCATGATCCGAACCACAGCCACACGACACATGTGGCCTTGAGCTGTGGTCCGAATCGGGATGTACTGTGAGTTCCGAAGATTTGGTACAAAAAGAAAGTCACTTGGACTATTTCGCTGCTCAGTTCCATGTAGATGACATTTGGGGTTGAAAAGATGATATTTGGGGTTAATGGGTTGGGTAAAGACGTAAGTTAGTTTCTCAGGGCTCCCCTCACTTTTTCAATGTGATATTTAGGGTTAAAGTTAGTTTCTCAGGGCTCCCCTCACTTTTTCAATGCGGTTACCAGCGAAGCTTACAAACGACCCAGGCTCCCACCTGCAGCCCGCACTGTACAGCTGTGGGGCGGTGCGTCCCCCATCCGGGGCTCGCCACTGGACAGGTGGGCAGGGTCCCCCTCCACTGCAGCCAACCCACACTGCCATTCTCAGTACGTGGCTTCCAGGGGCAGCAGGAGGTCATCTGTGTGCCAGGCCAGAAAGTGGGGAGGAGTTTGGGGCAGTGAGCTAGGAAGCTTCTCCTAGAAGGCGGGGCTGAGACGCGGCACAGACGCTCCCCGTGTGTTGTGTGTGTTGTGTGTGTCGGCCACTGAGATGCGCGCAGGGGTCCTCTGAAGATCGAGGTGAAATTTGAAGCATGCACGCACGTGCGGAACGGGCCGCAGTCCACATGTGGAGGCCCACCAAGTAGATTACGACACTCATACAGAACAAAATGCCAGGTAGCCATGAAAACTATCTTCTCGATTTATTATCACCAGAAAAAATTCACAGTAATGACCGCACGAGAATGTGAGTGCCACAGGGGGCACAACCCCACTTACGCAAGGCTGAACACATGCACACCCACGTGCAGACACGCACGTGAACACACACCCACGTGCAGACACGCACGTGAACACACACCCATGTGCAGACACGCACGTGAACGCACACCCACGTGCTGGCGTACAGACACACACGTGGCCTGGGGGGGCGTCTGGGGCCCATACCAATCCCACACGGACGGGGGCTGGTTTTC